GGCTGTCACCTCGGCTGTCACCACAGCTCCTGGGGAACCGGCTCTGCCCAGGGTGTGGGGTCTGGCTCCAGCACAGGGACTGTGACCAGCCCCACGCAGGCCCTTGATGTGTTTGAAACCCACCCTGCACCACCAGAATCTCACACAGGGAACCAACTGAGAGCTCCCACTGCTCTGCCTTTTATTCCTTCACTTTTGTTTCCCCTTTTCTCTCTTCAAATCTTCCTTTGAAACCCAAACTTCCTGCAGTTTGAAATGGACAATCAGGCCGCCACGGCAGCTGCAGCCCAAGAGCTTCAGCTCTTGGCAGGAGGATCAGAACTACAAAACTATTTCTTTGAGGCAAATTATGCATTCATCCAGCTCATTTGAAACAAAATATGATTTGCAATTTAACTTTCCATAATGAGCTCCTGCTATTATACCGTTTCCATAATGGCTGGTTTCATTGGAACAGATTGTTGGTGCACATGGTTTACAAAACATTTTCAATGCAAGCCCCGTTTTTTCTTATTTTAAATAGCAACAGCTGCTAAGCATGATAATTATTGTATTTCATCAAAATAAACTTACCGAGTTGCTTCTTGATGCCACTCGTCACAATTTTCCAGCGGACCTGCAGGTTATTAAAGAAGCTGAAACTTTAATTCAACAAAGTGAGAGCAGCACCTCATCCAACTCCCTGCCACGGGCAGGAACACCTTCCACCATCCCAGGCTGCTCCAAGCCTGGCCTTGGACACTGCCGGGGATGTGGCAGCCACAGCTGCTCTGGGCACCCTGTACCAGGACCTCAGCACCCCAAGGAAGAGCTTTTTCCCCAAATCTAATCTCCATCTACTCTCTGACAGTGTGCAGCCATTCCTCCCTGTCCTGTCACCACATGCTCTGGTAAATAAATACTCTCCCTCCATCTTTCCTGCAGGCTCTCTTTGGGTACTGGAGCACCAGGAGAAGGCAAAGAGAAGCTGTGGTAATTAATTCCTAATTGCATTTGCTTGCATCACTGTTTCCCCTGCTGTTCCCAGGGCAGCTGTCAGGGCTCCCCAGCGTGGAGCAGCCCCAGAGCTGCAGCCAGAGCTCCCATCCCACACACCCCCAGCTCCTGCTGACCTTCTCCAACACCAGCTCAGGTGCTGAAGGAGGATTTTCTCCTCTAGTGGCTGGAGGGAGGATAATGGCAGAGGGACAGGAGTTTATTACTGAACAGCAAGTGAAAGTCTTATTTGTTGAAAATTTTCCGGGGAACTTCTGAGAGCTGTGTTTAGTGGCTGTGGTCGTCTGGAGATTTATGGATGTGCAGGATAATGATGCTGGAGAAGCTATTCCAGCCCCCAGTGAAAGGCTGCCCTTTACAACACCTCAGCGTTTGGATTTAGATGACAGGTAGTAATGGCACCACAGAAACCATTACTGTCCATCAAGTAAATAATCAACACACGATATAAACGGTTTGGCCTTGCCCAGACTCCCATGAGCTATGGCAAACAGTAAAAATCCCCAAAAAATCAAACCCAGAAAGGACAAAGGATGCTTTTGAGGAAAAAACACCCCGCAGGAATAGGGACTAGGGAGCTTCCCTTGCAGCAAACAGGAGAGAGGGCAGTGCATTTGTCCTGATGTAGGTGTGGAATTAGTGAAAAGCGGGTGAAACGCCAAGCTCTGTGCCGCAGCCAGGACCCAGCTGCCATTTCCCCTCGGCGGGCTCCGTGCCAGCGCCAGCTCCCGCAGGCTGACAGCGCTTCGCCGCCGGGTTTGTCACCACAGCACCAAGAGGGCGATGAAACCCCTCCCTTGGGGGGCACAGGGAGCGGCACAGCAGCGCCCGGCCAGCCCCGTGTGCCTGCAGGGTGCACCGGCCCCACCGAGCCCGGCTTCCCTGCGGGCTGTGCGGGACCCGCGACACCGCTGCTGCCACCGCACACGGGCTGTGTCCTGAGGGCTGTGCGGGACCAGCGACACCGCTGCTGGAGCTGCCACCGCACACAGGCTGTGCGGGACCCGCGACACCGCTGCTGCCACCGCACACGGGCTGTGTCCTGCGGGGAGCTGTGCGGGACCCGCTGCTGGAGCTGCCACCGCACACAGGCTGTGTCCTGCGGGCTGTGCGGGACCCGCGACACCGCTGCTGGAGCTGCCACCGCACACGGGCTGTGTCCTGCGGGCTGTGCGGGACCCGCGACACTGCTGCTGGAGCTGCCACCGCACACACGCTGTGTCCTGCGGGCTGTGCGCTCCTGGCGCTCCTGCCCGGGCACCGTTCCAAGGGCAAAGTCTGAGTCTCTGCGAGTCCGCTCCGCTGGTTTCGCAGTGTTTACAGGGCTCCCCCGATGATCTAACGCTGCACAAAGCCATTGTAGGATAAATATAGAGCACTGCAGCGCCATAAATCAGCCGGCTCGGCAGCACGGCAGGATCGGGCTCACGGTGGGGTGTGGGTCCGCTGGCACTCGGAGAAGGGGGAGCGGGTGCCTCTCCGTGTGACAGCGGCCCTTTGTCACCAGCCTGGGCTGTTCTGCCCGCGAGGAGGTGACCACAGGCGCTGCCGTGCCCGGCGTTGGAGCGGCGCTGGCAGCCACGCGCGGACGATGGGCTATCATACTGTTTATCGAGGTCTGGCGGAAAGAAAACAAGCTAATGGGGCATTTGCTGATTCAATTCGTTGAATTTGAACAAATCTTTTTAATCCTCCTCTCCCGGGGATTGGAAAGGTCAGAGAATGGGCAGAATGTGCACTTTCAGGTATTGAAATTAAACTTGTTAAGAAATCCATATTGATTTGCACTTCTCTGAGAAATATTGAAGCCTCCAGATTTAGCCTGGGTATTGATTTTCTCTTCCAGGGGAAAGACATCGGCACAAAGGGAAGGTATTACACGTGGCAGTAAACACCTTCAATCACTGCCCGCTCTGCCTCCACCAACGCGAGCAGCCGGGCCGGCACTGCGGCTCCGGCGCTCCTGGCCGCAGGGTGCTCAGAGCCTGCCTGGACACGGCTCAGGCATGCTGGGTCGCTGCCCCACACCTGCCAGGGCTGAAAAGGGATTTGGGCTGTGCCCTTAAGGCCCTGGTTTAGCTTTTGGCCAGCCACAATCACAACCAAGCGTTCGGGAATTTGGGGATGGTCATTGTGGGTCTTTCCACTCCGTGCTCCTCCTGTTTAGCACTGCCAGCCCTTTCACTGCTTTGCTTTTAAATATTGCCCTAAGATGGGGGTGCAACTCTCCTTTGACTGTTTTTAACACATGCAATCAGCAACTACGGCAATTAAGAGGCTTAATTAGCATCTGAATCAGCCTTCTCGAACAACCCCCTTTGCAACAGTAGCAAATAAGGGCGAGGGAGCTGAAATTCCCCCTGGGAGGGTGGGCAGGCCCTGGCACAGGGTACCCAGTGCAGCTGTGGCTGCCCCTGGGTCCCTGGAAATGTCCAAGGCCAGGCTGGATGGGATGGTGGAAGCTGTCCCTGCCCATGGAATGACTTGAGCTTTATGGTCCCTTCCACCCCAAAGGATTTTAAGGTCCCTTCTACCCCAAAGCATTCTGCAATTGTGTGAAGAAAGTGCAGAAAGGGCTGCACTTTCTGATGTTGGGGCTGTTCCTGGAGCTCCCGGGAGGATTTCACCCCAGCAGAGCTCCTGTGCCGGGTTTCCCAGCGGCCTGTCCATTATTCCCAGCAAGGATTAGGATGTGCAGACCCAGGCCGAGGCTGCTCAGGCTCACACACTGCACACCAGACGTTCCCCTTCTGCAGGAGTGCAGTGAACGAGAGCCCCGCTGGCCCCTGAGCAGTCCCGGGGACCCCGTGGGGATCTGCCACTTCCATCAGAAGGTTCAATCAGATTCCAATTAAGTGACACATCACCGCGGACCAACTGCTTCAGAACTGCTTCCACTTAGACGAGCTCTGCTCCAGTGGGAGAGTTTAGAGCCGAGCCTCCGTCTGCTCACGCGCTCGTGGCAGCCCCAGCCTGACCTCCCTCCTCCCTGCCGGCCACGCTGCGCCGCTCTCGGTGCCCACTGCGGGGTCAGTGTGACCTACTCAGCCAAGCAACTTGCCAAACTGGACAATTTTATTGTTTTTCTCATGGATCTCCCAGCCATTAGGGAATCTCACCCCATCCGCACGCGGCTGCAGCCGCTCCCGCAGCGCCACGGTCGCGCATTGCCCTCGGCTGTGCCCAGACAGTCATCTCTGACTGCGTGTGTACCAACTGTAGGGAAGTAATTCATTTTCTTGCAACGTTAGAGGTGAATTAAACGCTGGATACTTGCTACCAGTCACTGGAGTAATTCTGCTCCTGAGTCCTTTCGAGGGAGGGAAGGAGGGAAGGAGGGAAGGAGGGAAGGAGGGAAGGAGGGAAGGAGGGAAGGAGGGAAGGAGGGAAGGAGGGAAGGAAATAAGCCCTTTCGAGACCACAGAAAATTGCAAAAGGATGTTTCTTCCAACCCGACATGACAAAATTGAATTCCAAGCTATTTAATGCATGCACGAAACGCCATAGAGGAACCCAGCCCGAGCACTCCATCCAGCACGACAGGGAAAGGGGTTCGGAACACAAGCATCGCTCCGGCACTAGCTCAGTGCTTCCAGCTCCGGACTTCCAGGCGATTCCACCGAAATGTAACTACTGGGTAAGGGTTCTCACGGACAGGGCTATCGCCAGCATTTCCATGGACACACAGCTATGGGAACACTGCGGTTATGATCACACGAACGATGGAGACCTCGGGAAGCCGCTGTCCTGGGGGGTTGGAGCCCGCTCAGTCCGCAGGGCACCAGGGCCAGGGTCCCGGCGCGGCCCTGTCCCCTCCCCGCCGGGGGTCCCGCTCCCACCGCAGGCGCGGCGGCCTGGCCCGGCCAGTGGCATTTCAGGAGTGAAAAACCAGCCCCACGGGCAGGGGCACGGGGAGCCTCCGGGTTTGTCCTTAAAAACGGGGTTTCACAGGTTACACCGTCACGAGGGTGATGCCATGCAGCCTGCCCACGGCCCAGCCCGCCTCAGACCGGCGTGGTTCGTCTGTTGGCCGGGTTGTTGTGCAAAGACTCCTTGAACTCTTTGGGGATGGAGTTATGGACCTGTAAAAAACCGTGGTCCCGCTCCGAGTTGAGCAGCGTCCCCATGGTAACCTTGGAGGGATCCCTGGAGAGGGTGAACATGGAGATGTCGGTGGAGGGGATGGTGCTGAACCCTTTGCTGATGGGCGACATGTCCCGGGAGCGGGGCTCGGTGGAGCGGGAGCTGGACCGCCGGCGGAAGCGGTACCTGTAGGGGGGCAGGCGGGTGAAGGCCGACCTCTTCAGCAGCTCCGAGTGGGACCTCGCACGGATCTGGCGGTGCTTCTCGATGTACATGTGCACGGCGATCACCCCCACCATCTCAGCGATGATGAAGGACAGCGCCCCGAAGTAGAAGGACCAGCCGTAGGAGTAGCTCTTCTTGGAGTCGCTCTGCCCCGGGTCCCCCGCGTTGGCCGAGATGTAGACTATGATCCCGATGATGTTGCTGAGACCTGCGGGGGGACAGGCGGGGCAGGCGCTCACCTGAGTGCCAGCAGTGGCTGGGGGAGCATGTCCCCATGGGGCACCAACCCTCTGCCAGCACACTCGGACCAAATCCCCTTGCAGACCTCTGCTGATCTCCCAGGACACTTCTACATTCCCTTACACACTTATCCCTTACACATTCCCAGGAAAGAGGAATAACCACTGTTTTCTCTAGAAAAGGGACATTTTGGGAGCTGGTTGTGCTTTGCCTTGCTGAACAGCGAATGCAGGAGCCTGGCTGGTGTCATGCAGCAGCAGAGCCAGCCTGAGGGGTGCAGGGGGATCCCCCCAGCATGAAGCCAGCTCGCCATGGCCCTAGGAGCACAGGGAAGCTGGAATGGCTCCATCTCTTTCCATTTCTGGTGGAGTCCCGAGGCTCTGTTTGGGACAGGGGCAGCCTGTGCCCCAGCAGCAGCAGCGGGGCTGTGCTGCAGGCTGGGGAGAGGCTGGTGCATTCCCAGATTTACTTAATGAATCGATTATGTTCTCTCTGCTGTTTTCTCATCTGCATCAGCAGCGCCTGCCAGCCAAGGAGGAAGAGTCATTTGTCTTTTTGTGGGGAGAAGAAAAACACAAAATAGAGCGGTTCCTTGAGACAAAGACATTGTCACGCGATAATCAGGGGAAGCGTTGGGGAACAGCACAGAGGAATGAGTAATCCAGCAGGAACAGCCTCCCCAGAGAGTGATCTCCATGTGGCAGCCCCTCTGCCTGGTCCTGCTGCTGCTGGCCCAGTGCCCACTGACTGTCCAGGATGGAGGGCAGAGCCCCCCGACCCTGTCCCAGGGTCTGGTAACCCCCAGGGGGATGGCTGCGCTTGGGGAGCCCCTCCTGGGCCGTGCCCCCAAGTGGGCTCTGCTCGAGGCAGGGCAGGGGGGCACTCGAAGCCCTCTCTGGCACAGGGACCATGGCCAGAGAGCCCTGACAGTTTTTCCCTTCTGTGGGGATGTTCCCACAGGGCTGGAACAGCTCTCACACCTCAGAACCTCTCAGTGCTGACAGCCTGGGAGGACCCACACCCCGCCCCTGCTCCCCCGTGTCCCCCAGGCCGGAGGAGCCCCTGGCAGCTCCCACCTGCAGAGACGAAGAAGATGCCAGCGCTGAGGATGACGTTGTGTTTGCTCTTGTAGAACTCGCTGGCGGCCACGCACAGCCCCCCGAAGAACAGCAGCCCCACGCTGAGGATGGGGAAGATGCTGGACGCTCTCACTGCACCTGTGGGACAGGAGAGGGGCAGCATCAGCCTCAGCACCCCCCGCACCTGGGAAGGATCCGTGCGAGGCACCCCTTGTGCTGCCAGGATGGATGGGGAGACCCAGCACTTGTCCCCACCAGGCATCCTCTGCTTGTCATGGAGCTCTGCAATGGTTTGGGGTGGAAGGGACCTTAAATCCCATCCAGTGCCACCTCCTGCCATGGGCAGGGACACCTTCCACCATCCCAGCTTGATCCAAGCCCCATCCAGCCTGGCCTGGGCACTGCCAGGGATACAGGGGCAGCCACAGCTGCTCTGGACACCTGTGCAAGGGCTCCCCACCCTCCCAGGGAAGGATTCCTTCTGCATATCTCACCCAAATTTCCCCTCTTTCAGCAGAAACATGGGCAGTCCCAAGGCTGGGTGAGGGTGGCCCTGCAGCCAAGGGACACTGTCCCCTCAGTGTGGGCATGTGCCAGGCACCGTGACAGAGGCTGGACACAGGTGACACCCCCGACATGCAGAGCCACACGTGTGTGCCAGGCTGCTGAGGGCTCACCCAAGCTCTGCATTTCCAAACAAGAGGCAGCAGGGGCATGCAGCAGCCTGGGCACTCCCTGAGCTGCTGGGGCTGGAAGGAATCCTGGGAAAGGACCCTGTGCCCATGGCCTGGTGCTCAGCCCAGCCCCCCGACTGACCCAGCTGCTGCTCATCCAGTTCTTGCTCTGGACTCTCAGATTTCCACAGCTCTGCTCACCCAGTGGAGGGGAGAGCGAGTTTAATGAAATGGCTTTGCAGTTTTAGTAGATTAGTGCTGAAGTTCTCCCACTCCCTCTCACATTTAAAGTAAAAAGTCTATTTTAAAGCCCCCAGGAGTGGAATTTTAATGGAGCTTCTCTGTATTTCTCTGCTTTAATAACGGCCCTAGTGGAGGGATGAGAGCCCAAGCCAAGGCACAGTGTATTTTTGGTGCAGCAGGTAGTGATCTGCTGCATTCATTACTCTCTACTGTCATTTTGGAAGCTGGTCCATGCAGGAAAGTGGATTGGGCTGGGCTTTAAGGTCCCTTCCAACCTGGGCCATTCTGGGGTGCTGTGGGAAGGTCTGTGGTTCTGCCCCGGAGCTTGGCTGGCCCCTGGGACAGGAGGACCCACTTTTCCCAGGAAATCTGCCAGCTCAGTTCCCTCTGTGTCCCTGTGCTCGGCTGCCCGTGCAGAGAACCTGGCACCTGCTGCTCATGCTCTCCTGGCAAGCCCAGCCTGGCTGGAGGCTCAGGGAGCAGGGACACCAGCAGGGACGTGGAGACGTGTCCCTGTGTGCTGCACCTGGGGTCTGCGGGGTCCCGGTCCCCCGTGGGGGCACCAAGAGGCTCAGGCTGTGCAGCAGCTGCTGGGACTGGCCGTGGGGACAGTGCCATGAGCACGTGGCACTGCAGCGTGGCACGGCCAGGCTCGGGTAGCCCAGATGCTGCCCAGGGGGGCTGTGACCCCTCAGCCTCCTGCTGGGTGACACCAGGGCACAGGGAGGGGTGCCCTGCGGTGTGAGGGGCCCAGGGGGTGTGCCACAGGAGCAGACTCACGGAGCAGGTACTCGGCCGTGTCTTGCTCGTAGTCTGCATCCTCAGGGAAGTGGTCGATTTTCTTGCACACTCCTCGGAAGGTTCCTGGGGAGACACAAGCCAGGAAATGCTCAGATCCTGCTGGCCAGGATGTGCAGCAGCCCAGGGGCCTTCATGCTCTAAAGGGGGACACTGAGGCACAGAGTGGGACTGCTCTGGAGCAGCAAGGGGCACGGAGGGTGGCATCTCCCCAGAAGGGCAGCCCCTCAGCATCCTGGCTCTAGAGCACGTGCTCAGGTCATGCTGGCTCTGTCCCCTCTGCCATGGCAGCAGGAGGACACGTCACCAGGGACCAGGGCTCCAGACAGCACAAGGCAGCCCTCGGGGTGTCCTGCACACTCCCAGGCTGTGCTCAGGGGAGCTGAGCAGCACGACAGGCATCAGTCAGAGCCTGAAGATGAAGCTCTGGAGGAGGCAGGCTGTCATCCAGAGGGAGACACAGCATCGGAGGGAGAATCGCCTGCTGCCGTTGCTTTGGGAACTGTGGGAGAAGGGGATGCACTGGGCACGGTGAGGACAGCAGCTCACAGCACAGCCTCCTCCCCCCAGCTCTGGGCTTCCACCCACCTTGTCCCTGTGCCCAGAGCCAGCAGGCTCTGCCCCACGCTCCCCAGAGCTGCTCCCCACGGGTCCCTCTGCTCTGCAGCCATCAGGCACTGCCGGAGTGGGGCTGCAGCCACGGCTGAGCAGAGAACACGGCCGGCTGCCCGGGGCAGGGGGCAGCCCCGGCTCCGCGGCATCTACTCACACTCCGACATTTATTTTGTCTCCTTTACTCCCTCTGTTCACCAGCTGATGCCCGTCGTCATGGCAATGCCGAGCCACCTGACACACAACTTCAGGCTCCAAGCGCACACCACAACAAGGCTGCAAGCCCAAAAATCCCCTCTGACCTCCGAGGTGCTCCCCAGGAGGGAACGCTGCCCCTGGGAGCTGCGGCTGGAAACGACCCCAGGATGGGAGAGGCAGCTGCTCAGGGTCCTGGCTGGGACACAGCCCCCCAGCAGCGGGGCCAGGTGTCACATCCTCAGCCCCCAGGTCCCCGACCCCCGACGCAGCTCCGTGTGCTCCTCTCCCGGCGCTACAGCCGGGCCTGGCTAAGTGACACCGGGACGTGTCCCAGGGGCCGTGCCCTGGCCCTGCTACCGCCTCTGGGCGCTCGCAGTCCCTGCCAACGCCTCCCCAGCCCCAGGTGTGCCCCGAGAGCTGGCACAGCCCCGGGCACGGCCCATCAGGGCTGGTGCCCTGCGGCAGGCTGGGCTGGGGGCTCCTTCCCGGCCCGAGAACGCCAGGCTGCTGCTCCCAGCACATCCCAGCCGCTGCTGAGCCCTTTCCAGCCCTGCCCGTGCCTGAGCCTGAGGCACAGCCCGGGTTCCGCTCCTCTGCGGCCGCTGCTGCGCCCGTGCCCGCTCGGCTGTCTCGGGGTGGATCTCAGGAATTTCCTTTCCCTATTAGTATGAGTCCCAATTAGCCAGCTTGGCTCATGGCCACCGCTCCCGGCCGGAGCCCAGCCCGGCAGCAGCGCCAGGGCAGGGGCTGTGCCGGGGGTCCCGAGAGCCGGCCCGGAGCCCCCCGGCAGCGGGCAGCAGCAGGAACCAGGCCTGCCTGTCCTCTCCTCCAGCAGGAGGGGGAGCAGCCCCGGCCCTGCTCCCAGCCGGTGCCATCGGGCAGGTGCCACCTCCCTGGTCACTGTCTGGTCACTGCCGCACACCCGGCAGGAGCGGAGCGGCCCCAGCCCCGTTCTGCCCCATCCTCACCCAACCGCAGCTCAAACTCTCCGTGTGCCGGCCTCACCTCAGTCCAGGGAATCCCCTCCAGCTGTAAAACCTTCCAGGGCTTTTTGAGTCTGCCAGCACCGGGACCGCGGGGCGCCTGCAGGCTGTCCCTACCCGGCGGCCCAGGCCCCGCAGCGAGCCTGCCCGGGGCGGCTGGCACCGGGTTTCACCGGGCACCGAGGGACTCGTACTCCCCACTCAGGGCACCGAGGGACTCGTACTCCCCACTCAGGGCAGCTTCTTGCGGGCACCCCTCCCCTGCCCTGCCCTCCCTCCCTCCCTCCCCTCCCGCAGGGCCGCTCGCACCCCGCGTGATCCTTCGATCCGCTCAGCGCCCCCAGCCCCGCAGCGCCCCAGCCGCACGCTGGGTGCTGGGACCCCAGCCCCGGACAGGGTCCATGCTCCCCCAGCCCCCGGGCAGGATCTGTGCTCCCCCAGCCCCCGGGCATGGTCTGTGCTCCCCCAGCCCCCGGGCAGGGTCCGTGCTCCCCCAGCCCCGGGCAGGATCCGTGCCTCCCCAATACCGCCGGGCTCCCGCACCGCCTTTATCGGCACATGCAGAGGCAATTAATTGATTTGATCTCAGGTTGTTTTCCTGTCAGAGCCCCTTTCCCCAGGGAGGGCTGGGGGGACGGGGAGGGGCCTGTGAGGGAAATAGGTTTGCAGTGGTGGAAATACAGCCAAGAATATCGATCCCAGCCCGACGAGCCAGGAGACTGAAGAGCTCCAGTTATGGTGTTAAAATCTCATTACTTTTCATCTGGTGGAACGGTTTTCCAGGGACCATTCTGGGTGCTACTGGTGTGTGCAAAGGAAGACTCAGGCTGAGGAGGATGAGCTGAGACCACTCTCAAATGAGAACAAAATTCCTTGCTCCCCTGGAAGTGGCTCAGCCAGGAGTCAAGGTCACATTCCAGCCCTCAGCTCTCTGCTCCTCCTGATATATCCGAGTGAGTTATCTCCCAAGTTGTGGTTTCCAGTAATGGCCTTCCTAAAGACAGTGTTACACTGAATCCATCTCGGGGAACTGGCGTGTCATTATGGTCTAAGTTCTCTGGAGCTGGAAAATTAATATTTTGGAGAGCCAGAGGTCGGAGCTGAGCTGGAGAGTGCTGGGGTAGGAAGGAGCCTGCTGCACAGTCCCAGAGATGCTCAGGCTCTGCATCCCTGAGTAACAAGAGCAGGATACCTAAATATCTCCGAGGAATTAAAACTTCAGGGCTCATCTTTTTTTACCTCCCACCCACCTCCCAGATGCTTGGAGAGATGGAGAGAAATTCATCCCTATTCCTTCCCTTCCCCAGCTCCAGGCTCTGCAAGGCATCCTGGGGCTCTTTGCACAAGGTCCCTGGTGTGAGACTGCAGAGCTCCGGGGTTTGGGTCTGTGCTAGCCACGGCCAGCACCCGGTGGCCACTGCACAGGGCTCAGTGGGTGACACCACGCAGCTCCTGTGGCCCTGGGGAAGGCTGTGGGGGGCCTCAGCCACCCCCCAGCGCACTGTTTGCCTCCTGCATCACCAGCTTTTCAACACAGCCAGAGCTCAAAGGCACACAGCAGCTCAGAGGAGCAGAGAAGGCTGGTGGGGGGGCTGCAGCCCCTGATGCGCAGCACTGAGCACCCCCCTGGAGCTGCTGCTGCAGCTGGGTTCAGGGGCTGTTCTCCCCCAGGCCAGGGAAGCCTTGGGGAGCCAGGGGACCTGTCCTGGCCATCCCACCAGCTCTGTGACCCCTCAGACCGTTACTGCTGGCCCCGAGCCCAGGAGAGCGCGTGAAGGCAGAGCCCAGAGCCCCCAGCCCCGCCGGCCCTGGGCCCTCAGCACCTGGCAGTGGGAGGAATCCTCCTCCTCCTCGGCAGGACTGAGCTGTCCCGCAGCACATCCCGTCGCCCCAGCAGCCCCACACCAGCTCCCCCGGCTCGGGAGGGATCTGGCTCCGTCTGCATTTCACACCCTCTCCCCCTCTCTGCGGTGGTGGCTTGTGCCTGAGCAGAGGCACCTACACAGATACGCCTGTTCCGAAGGACATTTTTTCCTGTTTTTATATATTAAAAAAACCCCCCCCACCAGTGGAAAAAACCAAAGTCAGACGAAAGGAATGCAGGAGCGGGGAGGCAGCAGAGGTGGCTGGGCTGTGGCTGTGAGCAGAGCCCGGTGTGAGCACACACCTGAGCACACACCTGGCAGGGACAGAGCCGGAGCACCCCCGGGGCTGGCGCTGTGGGGAGCAGGAGGTGCCCGGGATGGGCATCCCCAGGGGGACACGGCGAGCACAGCTTGGCACCACACCACGGGTGGGCTGGGAGCTCCTGGCAGCGCCAGCCCGCGAGGTGCCAGCGATCGGCGCGTGGCACAGGGACTTCACTCCCTCAGCGGTGTTAAATGGAAAAAAGGGGGAAAAAAAAAATCCACATTTTGACAGTGACTCATCATCTCCCATTCTGGAATCTGTGGGGTTGGTGCCACCTACACAAGGCAGTTCAGAAAAGCAAAACAATTCTGAATAATAGAGGAGGAAAAAAAAGTTTGCAGCTGATGGGTAATTTCCAGCCCTTTGCTCTGAGGGTTTTCTCATTTTTTCTCATTAGAAAAGTAATCAGGTAACACTCTGGAGCTGCTTCCAGGGGCTCCCCCCACGCTCTCCTGAGCTTCCTTCCTCCCTGCATCCTCCCAACCTTCCTCCCTCTGCCCTTGCACATGGCAGGAAAACACCACGCTCTGGGAAGATGCTGGGAAGGGGCAGGGGGGAGCAGGGGCCGAGGTGAGCGCAGGGGTTCTGGGTGGCCCCTTCTCTGCTGTGCCCCCGTGGCACTGGGCAGCAGCTGCCAGCGCCGGGAGCACTCGGATCACGCTGGGGAGGAGAGCACTCAGCAGCATGTCTAAGGAAATCATTTCGTGTTTTATCTTTAACAGTGGATAAACATTGATTTTTATTTTAAAAGGTAATTGACATTCCTATGAGAGCGCAATGAGAGCTGGAGCAGCCGGAATTGGCGTAAATAAGCCATGTGCTAGAAATTAATGAGCTTCACTGATTGAGTTTATCTGTTTAAATTAATACAATTCTGGCAATTATATAAAAAAAATAATGATCTTTGGTTTGTTTGCCTGCTTGGAGGCATTGATGGTAAGAGATGGGGCAGGGCAGGAGGCCTGGCCCAGCTGAGCCCAGAGCTCCTGCTCTCCCTGTTTAATGAACATTTTAGATGTACTTGGGTTAACTGATGAGCCTCTGGGAAGGGTTTGCCTTCCAGCCTGAAGGTAACAGGGGCAG